CTCTCTCTCTCTCTCTCTCTCTCTCTCTCTCTCTTTTTCTTCTTGCACTGTGGTGTCATAAACAGTCAGACAGTCAGTGATGCCGACAGCACGCAAGAACTCAACACTTGCTCAGGGGTCCTTAAAAAGGGCTGAAAGTGGGTCACTGAAATGTCCCAGCAGATGAGTTCAGGCACGATAGTTGGCGGGACATTTCAGGAACTCATGGTTCATAGTATCGTCCTCCTCCTTGCAGGCTCGACAGGATGGATCTGGGTAGAGATTTTGTGGAGATATGATCTCAGCTTGGACGATTTCCCTCCAGTTTTCATTTTAAATCACAAATGACCTGATGGTCCTCAAGATTTAGCTTTAAGTGGACTCCACTGTACGTCGAGTGGTACTGTAATTTCCTATGTTGTTTTCAATTAATTGCCTGCAATAAGTTTACATGGTGTTGGGTTTAGGTAAAAAGTAGTCGTTTATTTTTTCAAGTTGTTAAATTTAATTCACATGAAAGATTTTACTGCACTTTTTCTATCATGTTTTTATTTTAGCACTTTTCCTATAGTGTTTGCCAGTACCTTAAGAAGTCTTTTTTAAAAAGGTGTCACCACTAAAGGCTACATTATTGCAGTTTCACCAAGGCTACTGGTATATTTTACATTTGTGTTTGGATGTCTGACAAGGGAGTTCGAAGGTTCTTTTGGGAGCTGAAAGAGCTAAATGTTTACCCAACAAAGAAAAAAACTCTCTTTAATGTACACTGGAGAGTTGTTAAAAAGAGTTTGCAGTTATTGTTTACTGTTCACAAATCTGATAAATTTCTGTCAAGGTACAGTCAATCGTGAAACATTATGATGATTACAGCTACGTACTTAACATAAGACCTATTACCCTGCTTTGTGCTGAGTACTCTGAACTGATTGCAGAGTTAGTATTGCTCTTCCATACCTATGTACTCCTATTAATCATCTACTGTTATTTTGTTTCTAGGGTCTGCCTGGACCTTCTGGACCTATTGGACCCAAGGGTGACCGTGGCTTGCCTGGTCTTCCCGTAAGTAGATTATCTGTCAGACAAAAAAATCATGAAACGGGAAAACTGTTTTGTTCTCCTGATTTCTTATACTGTAATTGAAATCTGTTTTCAAATCCATATACTTTCAGTATTGGGCTTTTCTTTTACTACTTTCCTTCCTGCTTTTTATTCCTAAAAGTGCATGTGCATTCACTGACAAAAGACAAATGTTGACCATAAGAGTCATTTGGCAAGAGTCTTGACTGCACAACACACTTTTAAGTTTCAGATGCAAAGGGGGGGAAATAATGATAGTCCAAAAAAATTTAAGTTGTACTTTTTTCTTACACTTACAGTGGCCCAAAACAATGCATTTTCAAGCATTATCAAATCATTACAATGTCCAATGAGTTAGAAAATGTCTGGGAGTGTTGTAAAGATTATAAGGTTTACACTTTAAATGCTTGGCAAAGTAATATCATCCTTAACATTAGCACTAAGTCTCAATTCAAACTGTTGAGATGTCTAAATTAAAGAATGAAAATGGGTGATTTGATTGCTGATAGTAATTGTGTAATGACCCAAGGTTGGGTACTTGTTTTTTGTGACAGGGCTTTATGCCTGGTCCACAATGCCGTTTGAATCGTTAAAAAAGTCTGGTGTGTTTTTTTCTTCTGTAATGCTTGTCTTCACCGCTTCAATTTTTGGCTCATGAATTCGTTGTCTTGGTGCAGGGTCTGGACGGTATCCCTGGTGGAAAGGGAGACAAGGGAGACATGGGTATCGGCAAGTTTGGTCTGAAGGGAGCCAGAGGTATGAAGGGAGAGAAAGGTGCACCCGGACCTATGGGCCCCTTCTCCAAGGAGCCCCAGACTTTGATCTCTGGAAAGGGACCAAAAGGACAAAAGGGAGAGAAAGGAGGAATGGTAAGAGTCAACCGTTTTCCTCAGATTTGCATTAGTTTTGATTTCCTTCAAGTTTCTCAGGTTCTCTCTCTTGAGAGGTAAAATGTAGTCAGTCCCATTCATCTCTTGTAAGCCTATACGCTCTCATAAAAGATAAAGCATCAAGTTTGCATCTTTATTTCATTCAATGAATATCAAAGCTAAAGGATACAATAGTACTCAAAGACTTTTGTAAATGATAACTTTTGAGTGAGAAGTTTTATTTGATGAGGAAACAAATTAATTGTTCTTAAATCCTAGCTAACAGTAATTCTTTGCTTTTTGGTGAACAGTGGTGCACTTTCAGTCATGAAGAATCCTGGAAGTTTAAAAACTATTAACTTCACACAACCTTGAAAGAATCAAAAGGACATTTAGAATTTCTCCTTCATGTTTTATTTTTGCTTGTTTACTGTCTTTCATTCTACTCTTTTCTGTTTTAACTTCATGCTTATAAATATTCTTACATATTTATCCCAGGAATTCAAAGCTGTGATGAAAAAATTAAATAGAAATGTTTTGGTGGTTTAAATTGGAAACTTTACATTCAGTTCATACTACTTGACTTGATTTTAATTTGGTCAATTTATACAATATAAACTTAAAAGAAGAGATAGCTATAATCTATTCCTTTCAGTTTCTGATGTTTGATATATGGTCATGTGTATATGATTTATCTCTTTTCCAGGGTTTGAAGGGTATGATTGGTAATGATGGAGATCAAGGAGAGATTGGACGACGTGTAAGTGAAGCCATGTTTAGAATAATCTATGTCGTCCTACACTCCCCTTAGCACACTATCTATTTGCTGCTCTCAGAAATTAATTATTGTTGTAACATGTAGAAAATATGCTGTAGAGGAAAATTCCTCAAACATAACTCGTGCTTTGAAATAATTTCAGTTCATTTAAGTTTCTCCAGGTCTTTCTTCACATTCTTCAACGTTTTGTTTGTAACCTCTTCAAAGTTTCTAAATCAGATGTTATTTCATGTTATGGCATTCTTAAGGAAGGTATGTTTCATACCCAATCCATGGTAGAGGAGGCAGGTTCTTTTCTGTGGGCTGAAACATTTTTGTTGATTTGTGGTGGTGGTCATTGTTGATGTTTGTTGTTGTTGTTGTTTTTATTATTAGTTCCGAAAATCTTGGTTTCATGCCCGTCAGTCCAACAACACAATGTGAGGTGTGAAATTCTCTTGAATTGTTTCTTATTGTAGATATGTAGTTAGGTCAGGGATTTCATTTATACTGTCATTTGATTTAATCATTCTTTTGACATAAACTAATGTGTGAATTTGTTCCAGGGTTCTCCGGGTGTTCCAGGAATGGTTGGTGAGAAGGGAGTTCCCGGTATTGCTGGACCTAGGGTAAGTAGTTTCAGCCTCGAGAATTTACTAATGTTCTATGATGGTATTCACCTAATCATCAGCAAGCTGTAAAAATGTACTAAGCCCAGAAAAGAAAAATTCTCTAGAGAAAAAAAACTGTTACATTTTGTTAACAAATTGTATTTATGTTGTGTATTTTTTGTTGTTGCTTTTTTCAACATTTATAATTTAATTTAAATTTCAGCAAAATATTACTTGAGCACATGCACCCTATACCACAGATTTAGAAACTGCACTAAAAAGAATTCAAAATTTTGGAGTCAGTGCTTTTTAACAGCTGGCCAACAAAATGCTTCTTTGTTTCCATCAAGTAGGTGTCTGTCTTAAGTTAACAAAGAAACTGAAAACAGTTTCTCATCGTTACAGATAATCATTTTCACTTCTGTTAGAATCATTTGAAAATTTAAGTTTCTATTTCAGGACACTCATATTTACAGTCAAATTATGATACAGAACTTGTGTGATAATATAGGTTTTTAGTTTCTCATGATGGCAGTTTCAGTAATAACACTTTCGTATTTGGTTTTGACAAGGATTGTCTTAAATGTCAGCCCTACATTTCAGTATTTTTGTCAAGTTTGCCTAGGAGTTTTTTTTATATTTTTCTTTTGTACAGATTTCATGAAGAAAAAATGCAGTTTTCACTGCTGTGCTTTTCTTTATTAGATAAGCCACAGGCATTCTTTATTCATGAGTAATGACCAATATACAGATCAGCTGTGCTGGTATTTCTTTTTCCTAACTGTCACTCATCATCCAATACCAAACAATCTTACTTTCTTCTTGAAGCATAACACCTGCTACCATATTGACAATTTTTTTTTATAGAACTTACAAATATCCAGCCCCAAATCAGGACACAGGTCGGGGAAAAAAACCCTCAAACAGACTGTTGCTAAAGAATTATAAAAATGTTTATATTTTCGTTTTGTTCTCTTTCAGGGTAAACAAGGTATCTCTGGATTGCCCGGTCTTCCTGGACCTAAGGTTTGTGGCAAATGACAAATTTTCAAACATTTCTGTCGTATTTCAAGACATACTCATTCCAGACCATTATGGGTTCACTTTTTAAAACTCTTTCAGGATGAATCTTACACGTAAAATTAAAAAATAACCACTAATTGTACAGCTCTATATAGGATATGTCTCAAATGGGTTGATTCAGGGAATTAATAACATTCATAAGGGACCTCCTCCTACATGAGTTTTCTCAGAAATATTAGTTTTTCTTAAAATGTTGATTAATAGAATGTCTGCCTTCATTCCATCCGTCTTGAGAAGGTATTAAACTGATTTTTTTTAAAAGCTCTTTGCTGTGAGAAAAGGCCTTAATAGTTTGAAACAGAAATGGAGAATGCAAATAACATAATAACCAACTGTAAGTCAACTCATGAATAAGATGTGACACAAGACTAAAATGTAACTCATGACTGATATATGTGACTCTCGACCAATGTATGATTCACAACTAATAAATGACTCATGACTGATGTTTGACTCATGGCTATTGTGTGTGACTCAAGACTGATATGACAACTTTGTTTTGGTTCCCAGGGAGACAGAGGTATGGACGGTCTGCCCGGCTTGCCCGGTATGGTTGGCATGAAGGGAGAGCGTGGTCTGCCTGGTCTGGATGGACCTGGGGGACCTGAGGGACCCAGAGGATTGCCCGGAGTAAGTTGGTCACATAGAAGGTTTGGGCTCAAGTCCCAAGTGTGGGGGGGGGGGGGGGGGGGGTGACAAATACAGGCAAAATTTTCTAAAATGACGATTCGTTTCCGAGGAGGAAAGGGGTTTCTTGGACAGATGGTTGTCTTAGAGTGTCATTCTGATGTAAAAAGTATGCAAGGTGGAAAATGAGAAAGTCGTTTGTACAGGTGATTGTCTTATAAATATATATAAAGGTTGCCATTGGAGCAGGTTCGGCTGTATTGCTCAACCTTCAGGGTATATTTTTGTCTTTACTCTGGTTGCACAATAAAAGGATTCACCGTGGGTTCAGTCGGCAACTGAATTCAATCATTTCAGGAAATTTCAGAATGGAGAATGCTTTGTGCTTTTTTACAAAAGCAAAATATGCAACAGAGAAGACATATAAAACTTTTTCTTTCTCTGTTCTGTCCTACATTTCTCTCTCTCTCTCTCTCTCTCTCTCTCTCTCTCTCTCTCTCTCTCTCTCTCTCTCTCTCTTTCTCTCTCTCTCTATCTCTCTCTCTCTTTCCCTCTCTCTCTTTCTTTCTCTCTCTTTCCCTCTCCCTCTCTCTCTCTCTCTCTCTCTCTCTCTCTCTCTCTCTCTTTCTCTCTCTCTCTCTCTCTCTCTCTCCCCTCTCTCTCTCCCTCTCTCTCTATAACATGGTCACTTCTTGTTTCTCACTCTCAAAAACTCTGTTTCTCGTCGTGACTGTCAGGGCAAAGGCAACGTTGGTCAGGTTGGTCCCCGGGGTTTCAAGGGTGAGCGAGGATTCCCAGGTGAGCCCGGTAACCCAGGCTTCCCCGGACCCAAGGGAGAACAAGGTGTTGAGGGACCCAGAGGAGGACCCGGTATCCCCGGACCTGTTGGATCTGATGGACAAGACGGACCAAAGGGAGGAAAGGGAGACCGCGGCTCACGTGGTAAGTTGCCTTAGTTAACGGGGGAAGAATATTGTCCACATTTATAAAGTGATAATAATGGTGGTGACGTTGATAATGATAGTAATAATTCTTGTGATAGAACAGTTTTTATGCTGATGGTAATAATAGCAATATCGATAATAATAATAGTAGTATACTTATAAAGATGAGAATAATAAAAATAGTAATAAAAATCAGTTTAAGAAATAACAGTTATAATGATAATAACAATAATATTGATGATCAAAATGACAATAATGATATTAAGGACAATAAGAAGAAGAAAGATGATAAGGATCAGCACAGTGATTTCTCTCAATCCAACTTTCCCTCTCTAACCTGCCTCTCTCAATCCATATTTTTCCCTCTCTCAATCCCTCTCTCTTCCTCTCCCCCCACAGGTCTGAACGGTCTGGACGGACGCCCCGGAGTGCCCGGTCGTCAAGGACCTAAGGGAGACCCCGGCCTGAAGGGAGAGCCTGGACGCACCATCTCTGGAGCCCCAGGTCCATCTGGTCTGCCCGGTCTGGATGGTATCCCAGGAGGCAAGGGAGAGTCCGGTCTGCCTGGTCTGCCTGGAGTCCCCTGCGAGTCGCCCAAGGGCCGACCCGGACCTGCTGGACTGAAGGGAGATAAGGGATCCCAGGGTTTCCCTGGTCTTCCCGGTAGAGACGGTATTCAGGGTGACAGAGGTTTCAAGGGTAAGAACTTTGAGGTTTTTTTTAGTTAGAGTTTTACATCACTTGCAACTCAAATAGGTCATATAAGTGCCGAGAGTTAGAGGTGTTACTCGAGAGCAACATGCAAAGAAAAGGAGGAGGAGAGTTTTGGTTTTGCTAAGTCTGGCAGCACTTGCAAAACAAATAGTTAAAAAAAACATCAAAGATAAGAGGTGTTTCTAGTGAGTAACATACAAAGAAAAGAAGGAGGGGAGCTTTAGTTTTAGAGAGAGTTTTATGTTTTACGGCACTAAACAACACAGATAGGGCCTATAAGTGAAGATAGAGGTTTAGTTTTTACCAGAGAGTAACATACAAATTAAAGAAGTAGGACAGATTAGGACTATAAATGCTAGATCTAGATAGGAAAGGAAGAAGGGTAAGAACGAATGTCCATTGGTAAAATGCATGATCAGATAAAGTCAGATTGGATTAGCCAATGACGCTAGCCAGAGCACACTATATCAAACTAACCTCTGCTTCGCTTTATCAGATTTGAGTGAGAAGTTCACAAAAGCTCATAAAATTCCATGCACAAACAAGAGATCTAACCCCACTATGCTTAGCAGCCTTCTGATTGACTGTTGGCAACCATTCCATCATACTGAACCTGATAATGACCTAGACCGTCAAACATTGTTAACAAAGTTACCATGTACAGATCTTATGTAATCTTTTGTCATAACTTTTTTTACACTGCCAGGGATGTCATTATTTAAATGGGTATTTTTTCCATATTTTCTGTTACGTTCATTGAAACTCATTTTCAAAACCGTTGTTTTTCTCAGAATTTTGTTACCAGCTGATCCCCATATTAGTTGTATGTATTAACTGTCTAGTTTTGTTTGCGAATACAACTTTGTAAATTGTTCAGTTATTTTTTCCCAAATCCCAGTGGTATACCTGCACTGTGAACACACAAATTGTTCCACCTATTCAACCCATGGAGGGGTTGAGTAATCCTTTTTGCTCCGATGGCTGCAGATCAACAAAATATTAATTCTTTATATTTTTCTTCACACTTCTAGGTGACCTTGGTGGTCTTTGCGAGCCTACTGTGAATGGTGCCAAGGGAGAGAAGGGAGGCGCTGGCCGTGACGGTCTGCCTGGCCTGCCTGGAGACAGAGGATTGTCTGGCCTGCCCGGACAGAAGGGAGAGCCAGGAGAGGATGGATCTCAGGGTCTGCCCGGTCTACCTGGTAGCAGGGTGCGTATGTCCATCTCATCATCTACCAAATGGCTGAAGGGCATCAAAGCATCAAAGTCAACATTTGTTTGTTTTTCTCATTTCGACTTTCAGTCTTGATTTTTATTTCACTTCATTATATTTAATTTTCTTTTGTGTTTCACCTTTTTTCATAAATGTACGTTGATTTTAAGCGTTTTTCTCAATTTTTTATACCATTTCTTAAGAAGTAAAAATAGATTAAGTAGAAACCTCTTGGATGAGTGAGTTTCTTAGGGTAAACAATCCCAATGCTTCACTCATTAAGTTTTCGTTCTGACTAGTTCTCAAATTTCCAAATATGTTGTAGGAGTTTGTTCTCATTGTTACGGTGTCTTCCTTACCAGGGAAATGATGGAGAAGCTGGATTGCCTGGTCTGCCTGGACAGAAGGGAGAGCCAACCCCAGTAACTGTTATCGACGGACCTCCAGGTCTGTTACTGCAAATTGCCTCAAAAAGATAATCTTTTATTTTCTCCCATTTTTCTCAGTTGTAGAAGATAGCATGTAGAATATTGACAATTGTGATGGATAGAGGGAAAAATACACGACTGGGACTGTGAGGGTCAGTATCTGGGAATCTGGATTGCTGAAATTGTCCGGATGTTACCCAACTTCAGTTGGATTAACGAGAAGTTTTTGCACCTAATGTAAAAACAGTCTCGATACGAGATGTGTGAGACGAAATAGTCGTAAATTAAGAGTTTCCATGCTTGCATTTCCATGGGGTACAAAAAGTTCCGGATTTTTTTTGTAGCCAGTTGGTTCCTCTGTTAATATATGCCCTCGCAATGTGCCTACCATTATTTCTCTTGCTATCAATTATTTAAACAGACTACCATGAAACAATGTTTGACCATGATGGAATTTAGAAGAAAATAACAATAGTAACAATAATAAATATATATCTATCGAACAACATGTGCCAAGATGCCGTCCTCCCATAAAATGTACATCCTTAAAATGTACCAAAGGAGATTTTGTTTCTGTTCTACAGTAGCTTTGAATGGAATTTTTACAGGAAAAATATTTTAAGCATTCAAAATCTTTAATGTTGAATGGAACTGCAAAATAACTGAAACTGAACACTGGTTTTTTTTAACTCGTGTCACGAAGAGGTTAAAAAGTATCTGCTTCAAGCTAACCTTTCTCCTCTTGCCTTCAGTTAAATTTTCTCAAGATCAAAAACAATATTTAAAGGTATATATACTTAAATAGCTGGGCCCCCTTTCGATGAAAGGAATGATCAGTGCATTAACATCAACTGAAAGTCATATTGGCGTACTCTTTTTACACTCTGCTGGAATGGAGCTGTAAATCTTGAGAGAAAAGTGACACGTGTGTTTCCAAGTTGCCAAATATTATATGATAGAGGTATAGATTGATTCTCTATTCCGCTTTCGTGATTGTACACTCCATAATTTCAAAGGTGTGGAATCTGCGCTCGGCTAGTGAACGGAAGACTCGCTTGTTTACAATGGACTTTCCCAAGATTAGATCTAAACGAAACTAATGAAAAACTGAAAATTAAACTACTGTGACTTCAGGCTCCTCAATGAAACTGTGCACCCTTTAAATGATTCTGAACCACCAATAATTTTGTCAAATTCGAAAGCAAAGTGGTTCGGAAGTTTTAGGCTGTGAAAGTGTGAGGTTTCACAAATATAAAATAAAGAGATGACAACAGAAGATGTAAAAGAAGTGGGGAAAAAATGAACCAATAATACATTGTGTTCTTTTCTCTCTCTCTCTCTCTCTGAAATGGCTGCTGACAGGTTACAAGGGAGACATTGGTGAGCCTGGTCTGCCCGGAGAGCCTGGCCGTCTTGGAAGAAGTGGACCTCAAGGACCCCCTGGAGCCCCTGGACTGCCCGGACCCAAAGGAGATAGGGTAAGTGTGATCCTCTGTGTCTTTTACGACTCTGTAGAATCAACAATAGTTCTCATTACTTGATTAAGGTAGATTTAATTAATACAAAGACAAAAAGCAAATGAATGGCTCCATTGCAATAGAATGCACTATACACTATATCTTGGCTTTTCTGAAAAAATCCTGCCTGTTCCATAAATTTACGATGAGAATTGTTGTGAAAACTATTTTTCTTCCTCCATATGCAGGTTATGCCTGTAATTTAGCATAATGAAACTCATTCATACTTTTGTTTTCTGATAAAAAGTTACTTTCCCCCATTTTTCTAAATTTTGTAGCAAATGGATATAGTGTGAAACAGTCTATACAGTGTTGTGTCTGTGCATCAAAATGATTCTGTTGTTTCTATGGCAACGCAATCTATAAAATGTTGTGTCGGTGCATCCGACTGATTCTGTTGTTGCTATGGTAACCCAGGGTATCAAGGGACTGCCTGGCATTGATGGCCGACCGGGTCTGCCTGGAGAAGGTGGACTTCCTGGTGCCCGTGGTGACCCTGGCATCGGACTTTCTGGTCTGCCCGGTGACCGTGGTGACCCTGGTATGAACGGACTGCCTGGTCTGCCCGGAACCCCTGGACCCAAGGGTGTGCCTGGTGAGTCCATCATGGAAATAATACTTCTTCTTCTTCTTCTTCTTCTTCTTCTTCTTCTTCTTCTTCTTCTTCTTCTTCTTCTTCTCCTCCTCCTCCTCCTCCTCCCCCTCCCCCTCCCCTTCCCCCCTCCTCCTCCTCCTCCTCCTCTCTCATGTAATTTATCTGATTTGCATACCCTTAGAATATACCACCTTGAGACAAATTTCTACGAAAGAAGAATAAAGCAATATTTATTTTTTTAAAGTCTTCTTCTCCCTCAAAACTAAGCGCCAATCGCTCATTTATAAAATATAATTTCTTTTTTTTTGTTGCAAGTTTAGATCAGAAAAAACGTTCACAATGGTGATATATCATTATTTATTATCCTGATTTTTAAATTCATTTCCATCATTTAGAAATGCTACAATATCATATAATTACTCTTTGTAGAGTTAGATTTGAAAAAACATTGGCGACTGTGATTCGTCGCTTATTTCTCTCATATAGAAATAGTTTTTTATGTTATCTTTTTGTGCAAGTTTTGTACTTATCCAACCTTTGACCTCCCTCTCAGGACTGCCTTCCCCTGGAGCAAAGGGCACTAAGGGTGACCCTGGCCTTGCTGGTTTGCCTGGACGTTCTGGACCTAAGGGAGAGCCTGGATTCCCCGGACCTAAGGGTAAATAAATATATGGTTATCTCATGAAAAGAAACAATAAGAATGATCAAATATTTATGAGGATGACAACAATAATAGTTAACAGAGGTAACAATTTTTTTTTATATATTCAGAAATCTGGTGTTGTAGAATTATCCTAATATTGCACTATCTTCACAAATAGTCCTGATATAAGATAGACAATATGATTTGTAAATTTTGAGTTCTTGTGCATACTTTTCAATCAGGTCTGAAAACTTAAGATTTTTTTTTTTCATAGCCAGTTGGCACTTCTAAATAGGAATGATAATAATGATAACGATGATTACATTGTCAATGTTAATGATAGTGTTATAAAATATATTGTGATAGTAGTAATTAAAATGATAGTACTGATGTTCAAAATAATACTAACAATGGCGATGATGAGAATAATACTTAAATAATGCAGTTTAATAATGATAAATCAATATGGTATAAGTTGATATCTCATATAATAACATAAACAGTAATGATAATATTTTGCAATGGTAATGATGTTAATGATGATAATAATAGATCAAATTTATATCTACCTTTAGTAGAGAATATTATTCTCCTCCAATAGCGACAGAAAAATACGTTTATGATACTTTGCCCATGTGCCTTGACGACAATTTAATCTTGTGTGTCTGGTAAAATATTATTATGAATATATCAATTTTCTGCTACTTGTTTGATGTTTTATACCAAAAGTAACATATTCAGTTTACTGCCTATTCCAGATGTAGGCTCTGCTGTGTATTGAATTTTGTTTCAGTATTTTACATTCAGTATATTTCTGTGGGCTTTTTATTTCAGGTGATCCTGGTATGAGCGGCTTGCCTGGTCTTCCCGGAGAGAAGGGAGATTTCGGTCAGTCCGGTCTGCCTGGCTTGGATGGACCAAGAGGTGAGGGGAGAGTGATGATGAGTGTACTAAACTCATGATCATAATGATCATCACAATAATAATAATAATAATGGTAATTTTTTAAAATAATGATAACGATAAGAGTAATAAAAATAATAACATAATAACATAATGATAATAGTAATAATAGCAACTGTTATAATAATAGGGAGGAGGAGAAAAGGAAGAAGGAGATGAAGAAAAAGAATAGTTTGCCCACCGTGAACTAATAATTTCCTTTAACCTCAAAGGAAGAAGAGAAGTTGTAGACCTTGGTAGCTAGCAAGGAAAAGATGGTAAAGGAAGTAATAGCTAGCAACTTGCAATGATCATAAATGTCACAACGTGCCACAGATTGCACTCTTTCCCTTTCTTCAAGTAGTGTGATTATCTGCCTAAACATATAGTTAGTTGGTTAAATCTACTTATCGTTTCTCTTGTGACCTTCAAACACCATTCTTTTTTAGAAGACTTGTGGTCTGTATCTCTCTCTCTGCCTCTCTCTCTCTCTGTCTCTCTCTGTCTCTCTCTCTCTCTCCCTTCCCCCTCTATCTTTCTTTCTTCCTGTCTCCGTCTCTCTTTCCCTCTCCCTCTCTCTCTCTGTCTGATCTCTCTTAACTCTATTCATTATCATTCAGGTCTTCCCGGACCCAGAGGAGAGAAGGGCCTGCCTGGACTGCCTGGACTGCCCGGTATTGATGGACCCAAGGGAGGTCGCGGTCTCGACGGATTGCCTGGAGAGGAAGGTGCGCCATGCCTTGTGCTTTGGGGAGGGGGGAGGGGGTGTTTGTGGGTTTCTCTTGGCTTTTCATTTACAATTAGAAAAGAAATAATAGATGTAGTCTTTGGGTTGTTCTTTTGTGTGTGTGTGTGTGAGGGGAAGGGGGGGGGGGGGGAGTAAAATCTGGTGTCAGGAAGTGGCAAATGTTTTATTTATCATGGGTATAGCTACAGGTGCTACAGGTGCAGTTTCTTTCTCTTTAGCTGTACTTGTTTTGGTTTTATTTCTCTGAATTGGTGTACTGAACTGTATCTGTGTATGAGCGCACTTGTGACTGGCAAAAACAGTCAGTGTTACAATGTTGTGTCTCACACTATGACAAGACAAAACAGTCACTGCATCTCTACATGCAAATTACACAAACCTTTAGTGCATGTATTCTCTTGCAGATCGTATCTGTCATTTTGTCTCTATGTAAAGGTTATTGAAACTTATTCCAGGTGTTTTATCTCAAAAAATCAATTTGTCAGTCTTTCTGCATTAATTGACTACCAGCACTGTTTTGGTTGTTTTTTTTCTGCATTTGTTCATCTCATAGATCAGAAATGTCAGTCTGATGCAAATACAAAAATTGTCATTGTGTTGTGTTTTCAAAAGCTGTTATTATGTGCGTTTCATTTCAAAGTGTCAAAAATGTCTGTCAGTCTCTGTATACTGAATATGAAGCCTTTTTTCATCTCCCAGATCAGTTTGCCACTGTGTAGCTATTACTAAACGTTTAATTATATTGTACACCACCCAATCAAAAATTCAAAATTTAATAATTCCCTACCGTAAAGTATATCCCTACCACACCAGTAAAATATTAAGACACACCCTCCACCCTTCCTTGATTCCAAACATATTAACCACATCTCTCTTTTGTTGCATATCAAGGAAGTAAAGAGCTAAAAGGATGGGAGTAGTACTTGGGCATTCAACTTTCTTTTTGTCTCCCACCCAGGCAAAGCTGTATCATGCGTACTACTTTAAAACTGTCTGTCAAGATGCAAAAGGTCATTGCTTATCACCAGAGTGTTTTATCCCTATGCTCAGGTCGCCCTGGTGAGCCCGGTATCCCTGGCCAGACCATCCAAGGAGACAAGGGAGAGCGTGGAGGTCCTGGACTGCCTGGCTTGGATGGAGCACCTGGACTCCGAGGACCCGATGGTCAGTTCTGGAGTAGTACTGTTGGGTTACCCCTTGACCAGAAGTTTCCTAGCAACATGTGAAGGCATCTCACTTTTAAAAAATGATAATACATAAGAGATAAGTAGCATTGCCATAGTGAATATCCCTGATCAACAGCAAGCTCTTTGTGTTTAAAAATCTCTCTTTTTTTTTTCATGATAAAATTGATGATGATAATCATGACAATAATATTACTTATAGTATGGTATAAATACAGATAAAAATATTAGCAAAATTGAATAAAAAATGTGTGATGCTGAAAATATTAATAGTAATAATGATAATATTGTTAGAGATAATGCTGGTAGTATCAGTAATAATAACAATCCTCGTAATCACCACGAATATTTTGAAATTGGAATGGTAATAAAATGATAATATTTATGATAATCATTATAATGATACTCTGACTATTGAGGATAATTAAACAATGATAAAAATTATTATAACAAAAACAATATCAATAAGAAATAATAATGATGATAATGATAATGATGATAAAATTAATAATGATAATAATAATAACAATAATAATAATGATAATAGTAATACCATTATTGTTATAACAATGAAAATAATAATAAAGATAATAACAATAATAATGATGTTAACAGTGCTAATAAAAACAAAACTAATAACAATAATACCATCATCAATCGTTCAGGACCCTCTGGACTTCCCGGCATTACTGGAGAGAAAGGTTACGGTGGAGAGCCTGGACTGCCCGGTCTGCCCGGCCGTGACGGAGCCCCCGGAGAGCCCGGACCTATTGGAGAGACAGGACCCCGTGGAGAGTCCGGTCTGCCCGGTCTTGACGGTATCCCAGGTGAGAGGGCATGACATTCCAACAAGAGAAGTCAGCTCAGCCTGTACTTCTACTGTGTTGGCTCAAGTGGGCCGTAACATGCTGAGCTATTTAATGCTTTTGAAAGTCGTAAGACAAGGTTTCTGTCTTCCTTTTTTAGTGCATTTGTTTATTATTATGAGTCGGAACTGGAAAGGTATTTCAGATTATCTGTGTATTCTGATGATATTTACACAGGGTTTTGGTTTGAAAAAGTGGAAGGTGCCATTTAACAAACTGATATTTATCTTCTTGAGGAGTATTTTATCTTTGAAATTTAATTTTTATCATTTAATTTCATATAAAATGTACAATTGAAATTATCCAAATAAGTCACCTATTGTCAAGGAGCAAAATGATTGTCTTAGACAATGTCATTATAATAAAGAAAAATGAAACACAAGGGAAGAAGTAGGAAGCAGTCATTTTAGCAGATTGGTGTCTTGGACAGGTGGCTGTAAGAACAGATCCAACTGAACATATATTTATCATTTTAATGAACGTTTTATCATTCAAATAGTATCATTTGATGTTTCGTCTTTTATTGTAATATATATTTCAGTTATGTCTACGGAGATTGGTTAGGTTTTCAGGACAACTTAAAATTTTCATTCTACTCATATTGCTTATCGTTTTGCGTTTGTCTCCTACAACAAGAAGTCATCTTAGAATTTTCTCAGGATCTTATTTAGGATGAGAAATTCTCTCATATTCTGCTTACTTTGCTGATTGTCTTGCATCATTTGTGTTCCAGGAACTGCTGGCATCAAGGGTGAGGGTGGTCTGCCTGGCCTGCCTGGACTGAGTGGTGCCAAGGGAGAGCCTGGAGAGTCTGGCCTGCCTGGACAGAGTGGACTTCCTGGTCTGGATGGACCCAGAGGACCTCCTGGACGCCCCGGAATGGACGGACTGCCTGGATTCCCAGGTACAACATAACGTTTGATTTGAGTCAGGTGGCGGGGGAGGATAATGTTCAGGGATGCTAACAACGAATAGTTATTATTTTCAAAATGTGCCCTCTCTTTATCCCCATATTAGTTCTGTCAATTAAACCGTCTATTTGTTTACAAATGCAATTTAATAGATCTTAAAGTATTTTCACAATATCCCAGTGACATCCTTGGATGTTGCACTGCAGAGACCAGCTATGTTTGCTCTGCAAAATATCTCTGAGTGTGAAATTAAGTGTTACATAATGTTTCATATTTTATGCATTTATGGATGTTTGCCATCTTAACCTAAATTACCCTGCTCGGAACAAATACAAAATTAGTATTTTTCTTTTGGTACTTTCTTTTTTTTGGTGGTATATTTCATTTTCTTTTCTTTGTGTGTTTCTTTATATCATTCTTTCAAAAAGGAGATGTCACGCAAAATGAATAACAGTTTTCGCATCTCCAGAAACGTGTGTTATTCATAAAATGGGCTACTCTAGCCACTAGTCTTGTTATTTTTGTCACTCATTTAGACCCGTTTTGCTTTAGCCCTCACAAATGCACAAATCAACACTCATACGAGCCTTTACTGGTGTCCACTCTAGGTGAGTGGATGAAGGACCGGTGCTCTAGTATGATTTGTTCCCGATTTCCTGTTGAACACCCACCATTTTTACCTCCTCTCTTTCTTTTTTTTGTATGTTACTCTGTTGTAACACCTCTAATCTTCAGCACTTATCTGACCTATTTGTTTTGCAAGTGCCGTAAAACTCTTACTAAATCCAAATTCCAGGTGAGAAGGGAGATGTCGGTCTGTCTGGACTTCCTGGTGAGCCTGGACGTGACGGTGGCCCTGGCGCCAACGGTGTCCCTGGATTCAAGGGAGCTAAGGGCAACTCTGGTCTGCCTGGAGAAAATGGACTGCCTGGACTTGATGGTGAGTCACACTGATTCCTTTAACTCTTTAAGGATAGAGCTGCCACATAATATATAGAAAACAGAACTGAAAAATCAGAATGAATAACAAAGTTGAGCTTCATTTTTTTAACGTGTTCTAAAACAATGTGTCTTCAAGCGTGCAAAATGCGTGTCCTCAATGAGTTAACATTCTCACATACAGGCTTGTTATAATGTTCCTGTATCTTTCTGTGGTTGGAGATTATAGCATTTTGAATCTTGTCCAATCAAAGGTTCGCAAGACCCTGAGATAACTTGTTTAGCCAATGTGTGTATTTCAGTTTATCATCTCAGTCCATCCCTTTAACATGTAGTGTGGTTACTTGTTAAATGCTGGGGGGGGGGTGTTAAAAATAATTTCGGTAGCTGAATGCCTTACAGAATCCTTGTTCAGTTAGAAACTTAACCCTCAGAAGAAAAGCTAAAAATTGGAGATTAAAAAACACTCTAGATATGAGTTTTTTCACCACAATGTTTACAAAAGTGGAAAAATGGAGACATAATATACTCTTTTGTGAGACCATTGCTCCAAGCAAGGGTTGCTGTTCACATCTACTCATTTGAGTTAAAAATTCATCAAAACTTGATGAGTAATAGAGTTTTAGGTACATAGTGACTCTACACTCTCAAAGATACCAGTTTCTAGATCAATCCTGAAATCCAGATTTCTAAAATTGTTCAGATTTTGTAAAATACTCTTTCTTTTACATCTATTTATATTTTTATCCCTTTTTGCGAGTCATTTTCAAATTCATATGAAAATACCATGGATACAAAATGCAATAGACAATTATTATATGATCTGCAAATTTTTAATCTTCACACACACATTTCCGTGGAATCTGAAAAGTTCAGTGTATTTTTTAGTCGCCAGTAGGTGCCTCTTCACGCTAGGGCTGGGCAATGAGTCGCTTTAGCAAAATCCGGATATGTTAGTGCACCTCTTCGGCAAATAATATGATGTGAACCGCCCCGGCAAATGGGTTAGAACCACTTCGACAAATGGGTTAGCGTCACTTCAACAAATGGGTGCACCCACTTCGGCAAACAGGTCAGAAAAGAGAGTTAAGACTCTGATTTCGGATAATGTCTTATTGAGAATTATCCGTTTATCCGGATATTTATCCGGATTTTGCCCACCTCTACCTCACACTGCTCCAGCTGTGACAACATAAATAATGCATAACCACTTTACTGTTGTCATGCCTTCACTTTATCCTACTTTGCATTGCCAATCTTTACGTTGTTCAGGTGTGAAGGGAGAAAGTGGTCTGCCTGGACTGCCCGGACAACCTGGTGTTGATGGTGAGCCTGGTCGCCCTGGACCTTCTGGCCTTAAGGGATCTTCTGGACTTCCTGGACTGCCTGGACAAGATGGACAACCAGGTAACGGCATGTGATAGACAAAGCTTGCGAATTTTTTGTAGAAAAGCATTTTAAAAAAAATTTTTTTTTCGGGGGGGGGGGGGAGGGGGGCAAATATATTGGGGGGAAAGTGTTTAGGAATATCGTAGAGTCTGGTAGAGAGAGTGTGTATGTGTGTGTGTGTCTGTGTTCTAGGAATATTCATTATTGTTGTATGTGACCTGAAAAAATGTCTCATTATGAGACCAATAAAGTTTTTTATCATTGTCAATGTGAACAAAACTCCATGTGGGTGGTTGGCATGTGCTGTGGTGTGGTTTGCTCCTTCTTTTTTTATCAAATATCTATTATCCTTATCTCTCCTGCTTCTTTTCTTTGTTTGGTAATACCTCTGATTTTTCGCAATACTATGATCTATTTGTGTTGTAAGTGCTATAAATTTCTGACCAAAACTAAAATGAGCCCCATGTTGTGTTGAACAGGTCTGCCCGGTCTGGATGGTCTGAAGGGAGATGTAGGAGAGCCTGGGTTCGGAGAGCCAGGCCGCCCCGGCAGAGATGGAGAAAGAGGAGCTGATGGAGAGCCAGGCTTCCAAGGACGTCCCGGAGAGAAGGGAGATGGTGGCCTGCCAGGATTCCCAGGACAGAATGGTGATAAGGTGAGTCCAGCAACCAAGGGTGGTTTCAGGACAGTTGTGTATAAGTTGTACACTCAAACCTGTCCAAGACAAACTCCCCCATTGTGGAGGAGAAAAGTGGTTGTTTTAGACATCATGGAAGTTTGGATGTTGGCATTATGATATTTTTTTTAACGCAAGGGAGGAAGTGGGAGATAGTAGTTTGTGACAGGCATTTGTCTTGGACAGGTGTATTTCAAGGGCATCTTGTTTTGAACTTGTATCCCCTGCAATAGAAGTTCTAAGTCTCTTGTGACTTCACCAACTAGCCCCCACCCCCACCCCCTTACTTTTCCCATCCAGCTATTGACTAAAGATGGAGGTTAGATGGATATGAATGTTCAGAGTGTTCTCTTTTTTTTTCTTTTTTTTTTGTCTGTGAGTCACTTTCATTATCCTAATTCTGTGTGTCCTCAGGGTATTTCTGGTGAGCCTGGTCGCCCTGGACTGCCTGGTATTGATGGACTTCCAGGACCTGAGGGTAAGTTGGGGAGAAAGTTTAGGAGGTTCTTAAGGAATTATTTGGCTCAGTTTTCAAAGCAGGACACTTCTTTAACAAACTTTTCAAAATGTTTTTGTTCTGGCAGAAACTTGAAATATTTTGAAAACGCTATACTTTAGTTTGATTTTTATAATAAGATACCATTTCAGAGTGTACACAAGGAAGCTTTTCTGTACACTTTGTCTCATTTCTGGGGGAGAGGGTGTCCTCGTAATAGGATGCTGACTGCAAGATAATCTGTTACAATACCCATTCTCTCATCTGACATTGCTTGTAGTTTTTTCATCTTTTATCAACAACACTACGAAACATAAATGAAGCAGTTGAGCTGTTATTGTTAGAATAGGTACACTGTTTTGAAATGAGTACAAAGTTCAGGATGAAACAAATAAGTTGGGCGCTCTGTTAACTCAGTCAGTAAAGCACCTGGACATGGATGGCTGGTGCCTTTATAAATAAATAATTGATTATCATCATCACTCAGTCAGTATCACGCTGGACTACGGAGCAGATGGCCCTTGTCTGATTCCCCATCAGGGCATTTTGGAACCTGTGTTGCTTTGCAGAGTTTTCAAGGCTCTCAATCCAATTGACTCTGGATTATCCAAGATGGACATTAAATCTGGAGGTCCCGCCTCTTAAATAGCCTATGTTGAGAGGGATGTTAAACCCTTACACTGACTCACTTCCCAAATAACTCTTCATAACAACTGTTGGTGGTTGGCGGGTACTCATATGTGGTTTGCTCCACCTTTCCTTTCAAACAGCTATCTCTTATCTGTATCTCTCCTCCTTTTCTATGTATATTACTCTCTGGTAACATAACTAACCTTTGGCATTTACACAACCTATTTGTGTTGCAAATGCAGTAAAAACTCTTACTTAAAGTAAATTAAACAACAACTGTCACCATTGACCCCCTCAGGTCAGCCTGGTGCTCCTGGTGATAATGGCTTCCCCGGCTTGAAGGGAGACCCTGGACTGAGAGGCCTGGACGGTCGCCCCGGAGAGTCTGGAGTGCCCGGAGACAAGGGCGAGCCCGGTATGCCTGGATTCCCCGGACTGAAGGGAGATCGTGGACGCGATGGACGTGATGGAGAACCAGGTGAGGACATTGTCTAGTACAGAATCTGCTGTAAGAGTAGACTGGAATCATCATCATCATCATTGTTGAAAAAGCAGTGTAGGGTGGGAGATTTTTTATTAATTTTCAGTCAGTAAATATAAATATTTAAAAAATATTCATCATCATCATCATCATCATCATCATCATCATCATCATCATCATCATCATCATCATCCCTAGCCTTGTCAACCATTTGTGCACAACGGATGAGTTATTTGTCTGATAGATGTCAGCTGGAAGTGGAAATTTTCTTTTTCACAATCGCCTTATAAGTCTATGTAAACTAAATAGGAATAGTGAAATATGCGTCTTTACTCCTCATTTGGAATATGTGTTCTTATCATACCTCCCATTTCTTCTTCATAATACAGTCAACTTCTGCAGGCTTGGAGGTTGATTTTACATCTTCTGATACCTGTCGCCATGGCCTTGTACATTCAATTATGGGTCACTCCTTGCCACTTTAGACCTCCATACATTTTCCCCGGCCTCTGCTTTGATGTATTGTTTTATCCTATATAAAACACAACCTTCTGTACCGTACCTCATTGTTTCTTATATTGATGTTATTGTTGTAGGTATTCCTGGAGTTAAGGGTGACTCTGGACAGCCTGGCTTGCCTGGACTGAGAGGATTAGACGGAACTAAGGGCAATGCTGGATTCCCTGGCGAGCCTGGAATCCCTGGTAAGTCTGCTGGTCAAGAAGGCAAAAGGGGGAAAAATAGATGTCGTACTGTAAACCAAACTGGTAATATCTAACAGTTCTCCGTGGATCTAAACTACTTTTTTCTGTCCTCTGTTTCAGTAAATAATAATATGTTTACAAAGATTCACAGGGATTCATGGACAGAACCTTATGTCAAGTTTGGTTGGGGATTTTTTCTTTAAATATATTATCTGTGCTCTTGTTTTCGGGTTGCTTTACAAGGAGTTTTGTATTATTCTTCAATTTAAGTAAATCCTTCATGCTCTGAGTTTTGTTTTTTTTAATGAATAGTATGCTGTCATGATTTTTTTTCCTTCTCAATAGTGATGCATTTTGTTTTTGTTAAGGTGAACCTGGAGTTGATGGCCTGAAGGGACAAGATGGTCTGCCTGGACTCCCAGGACCCAAGGGAGATAGAGGTAACTTGTCTCACACCTTTCTCTTTCTTTCTTTTATTTTGATGTGGCAACTATACGCCTAAAATAGGTATGTTCTCTGTTTTATTTTGTTTTTTAATCAATTGGAAAGTTGTTTCCAAGTTCGGCAATTAAAAAAATAGCCTGGCATTTTTTTTAATGCATTTTTTAATTATTGGAGTTAAAGTGAATGGTTGGTGAGGGTTTGTTAAAGAGAATGTTACGTGGCCCTTGATTACTTCCCTGGTCTTGTTTTCTGGCTGTCTGCCTATTTTAGACGCATTTTAAAGACTTGCTTGCCTATCTTCTAAAAGATATCTGTCCCATTTGTGCTCATAAGAGGATATATCAATTTTTTTATTTTTTATTTTTTTGTGCACCCTGCATTTTTTAGAAGGGTATCCATGTACTGAGCTGATAAAAAAAACATAATATATGGATTTATCTTTCCTGTATCTTTTGCATTCATTTGTTTTCGGATATCTTGACTTACCCCTCATTGTACAATCTTTCCCCACCCCACCCTCTGTAGGTTTGTCTGGTAATGATGGACTGCCTGGTCTGCCTGGTATGTCCACTCAGGGCTTGAAGGGAGAGCCTGGACGTGATGGTGGCTCCGGACGTGATGGATTCCCCGGACAGAAGGGAGAGCCAGGTGAGCAGCCATTTTTCTCTATTGTACATGACTGTTCCACTGTGGCTCAGTGAGCAGACATTTCTCTTATTTATTACACACGACGGTTCCACTGTGGACTGGTGTAGCGGCAGTGACTTAGTGGTTAGGCTCTCAGACCTACAACCATAAGGTCGTGGGTTCAAGTCCCATCACAGGCCTGACGTTGCGCCTGTGGCAAAGGCACTTTACACCAGTTTTTCTCACTTTGCCCTGGTGGGAATGGGTACCCGGCTATAGACAGTGAAAAATGAGGTCAAACCCAGGTCATGATACCTTTGGGCACGGAGCACAGCCAAGAGATGTTAGTCCTCATTGTTAAGTTTTGTGCACCTATAACAACATCAGTTCGTACTGAAGCTGGGAAAGTCGGTGAAATAAACAAATAGTCAGTAGGAGAGGTAAATGTGTTTAACGGCAATATGATTTTTATTGTAGATAAGTAAAAGAGGAAATTTGACTTCCAGCATTAGTTAGTTATCGCATTTCACCTTTTCCGAAATTAAGATTAAATTATTATAAATATGAAATTTCCTTCTTAAAGAATTCACATTTTTCTTTCTGAAAACTCTGGTCTTGTTCAATCTCAAATTGCTAGTGTTGTTGTTGTTAATCCAGTACCACTTGAGTGTGAGCCATTTGGCTCAATGCCGTGTTAGAAAAGGTGGAGGTCTTTGACATTCTTTTTTTTTTTTAAACAGCGGGTAATGTCTGTTGTAAGGACAGGGGGGGGGGGGGGGGGGAGAAGTTACCATCAAGAATCCTCTAGTTAAGAATGTTCAATGAACAGATGTTGAACTGTTTTGTAGAAGTCATCACAAAGTAAACACATTGGTCGGTTTTGTGGATTGATCCTGTTAAGGTGGTAGTTTGAGGTATGTTCTGTTTTTAGAAGTGTCAATATTGTAAACATCTGTCCTATGCAGGTCTGCCTGGTCTTGATGGTCTGCCTGGAAGCAAGGGAGATCCTGGAGATGTAGCCCAGCCTGGACTCAGAGGATTCAAGGGTGAACCTGGATCTTCTGGACTGCCAGGTAAACTTCTTACTCACTTACATAATGTTTCTAAACTTCCAGGTAAACTTCTTACATACTAACATACTGTTTCTGAACTGCCAGGTAAACTTTTTTACGTACCTAGACTTGGTTGTTGTTTTCATTTCGTTTTCACTCAATTTTGTAACAGAATTTATTCAAGTCTCAGTTATTCAAACTTTTTTTTTCTCACACTTGACGTTTCTATGTCTCTGACTTCTTTTACTCAATTATAATTTAGACAAAATGTATTTTCCTGGATTAGATTATTAAAAGTCCATTAAATTACTCCTGCCCAGTTTACTCTTGCCCCTTTATTTTAGCTCAGTTTCTTCTTGCCCCATTTACTTCTGGCTCATTTACTCTTGACTCATTACTCATTCTCCCCATTTACTCATGACCTATTTACTCACTCTCTCCATTTACTCTAGCCCAATGAACTGATACCCTATTTAGTCTTGTCCTATAAATTATTTACTCTTACGTGATGGACTCTGGCCCCATTTTCTCTTGCTCCTTGTACTCTTGCAGCATTAATGTTTGACACCTCCCCCCAACCCTCTCATCAATCTCATCTCCCCCAGGACTGGATGGCCCACCAGGTGAGGATGGAGCCCCTGGTCTGCCTGGCTTCCCCGGACTGAAGGGAGACCAAGGCCTGGACGGAATCCCCGGAGACAATGGACGCCCAGGTCTCCCTGGAGCAACTGGACCTAAAGGTAAAATAATTGATAGCGTTTTCCTCCCCACACACCTTACTTTTTGTTCTCAAATAATGTATACATTTTTCTATCAAGACAGCTATTACTGTCTACTCTCAAACAATTCATAAATTTTTCTACCTAGTCAGCTGCTAATTTGTTTTTCCCCCAAAAATGTATACCTTTTCTACCAGACAGCTGAAAGTTTGATACTTTTTTCTACCATTTGTACCAATCAGCTGTACTTTTTTCCCTCTGATAAATGCTTTTTATTTTTCATTTACACTCACAAAACTGGTCCTTTGTTGTTGATACTCAGGATTTGATGGCCGACCTGGTGCCCCTGGCCTGCCTGGTCCTAAGGGCGACCCTGGACTTCCTGGTCTGACCGGTGGCCCTGGACAGAAGGGAGATGTTGGCTTGAATGGACTTCCTGGTGAACCCGGACCCAGAGGTGAGTTGACCACTCAGTTGCCTACAGGCAGAATAAATCTTATATCAGAAGTCAAAAGTGTAAAGTGAAGATGGGCAGTACACTTGAGTGTTGCTCACATTAACTTGGGAGATTTATGACTAGAATAAAAATGAAAATTTTCCCCAAATAAGGCCACAGTTTAAAAAAAAAAAGAAGTGGTTTCTGAGTTTACCTGGATTTGACAAGTCAGCGACAGTATTTTATTGAGCAGGCCCCATGTTATACCAAGGACACGCATCTCCTTTAACTGCTTGAGGACACAGCAGACAGATACATCTGAATAGCAGACCAAAAGCAATGATGCGGCACATCTTGAACCATCATACACAAATAAGAAACACAATTATGCATTTTTCGTAGCATGCATGTTGTTTCCTGCCTTTTTTATGTTAAAGAAATAGAAACAGAATTGAAAAATCAGTATGAATAATGGAAGTAATATTTCTTTTTATACATACCCAAATACAGTTCAATTCAAGCTATATCAAATAGCTAGAATGCACATTCTGAAAGAGTCAAGAAACTGAGTAGACAAAAGTGCCATACATTTTGTAGTCCCGTGTCCCGAAATGCACCACATACTAATTTGTGTGGGCAGAAGCATGTTTTCCAATCCCAGCATCAAAATGTTATAAACATTATTTTTTTTAATGTTACGTTTAAAGTGCCACTGAGAAGGCTGATGTCTGTCCTAAAACACTCATTACCTTGTTCCAACCCCACAGGTGACGACGGACTCCCAGGTCTTCAAGGAACCCCAGGTGTCTGTGACTACCGCTTGATCCCAGCTGGACCCAAGGGAGACCCTGGTCTTGATGGACTCAATGGCTTGCCTGGACTCCGTGGAGAGCCCGGTCTTCGGGGACCACCAGGTAACATAGTAATAATAATAGATAACATCTGTACAGCTCTTTGAGCTTTACAATCTATATTATTACCCTAGAAGACCTGATAGCAATCTGAAACAATCTCAACTTCCTGGGAAGCTTACAGTACAAGCTGCCATTTTTATAGGCGCTAAAACACCAACATACCCCTCTAGCTTTTTACATGAAACAATAGCTGGTGAAGAAAAAGATAAAAGATGATCAAAAGGATAATACAGTGGAACTCGGATTCAACGAGGTCGCCGGGCCTGACCTAAAATCTCGTTGAATCCGAGTGTTCATTATAGCAAACACGAGGTTTAGAGTAGATAATTACAGGCACTGAGCAAGTAATGTATAAAGAGAAGTCACAAGTAGTGCCTGAAATGCCTGCATATTATGAGCTGCGTAAAAAAGACCGATTCATTCAAATGCGCACGCCTGTGTCATCTCAATTGTTTTCCAAAAAGTTGTGCTGCTGTGTGTGGAGAGCCTAGCATACGACAACTTTTGATTCCATAGACTAGCGCACAATTCACTACGTAGATCTATGTCAAGACTAGATTATCATTGTAATTATGATCAGTTGCCGAGGGGGAAAAAAGACTGTGACGCGTTTGTATCTGCGACGTTCAACACCCGGACCACTAGTGCCCCCCTCCCCCCCCCCGACACGCACACACAGCCACATGTGTGCAGGCCACCCCTCCCGAACCCCGACACACACCGGAGTACACACGTGCGCATGCTAACAACGCATGTGTTGGCATGAAAAAAGGCCTGGTTGAATCCGGGTTATTTCTATTGATTTTAAAGAAGAAAAAAAACAGGGAATCTATCTCCTCTCGTTGAATCCGAGTTCTCGTTGAATCAAAGTTCCACTGTAATGAAGATGATAAGGATAATGATGATGATCATGATAAATCATGATGCAAACTGTTTTTCTTTGGGGGGGGGGGGGGGGATGTTAAGCCATTATAATAACCATAATAAAAAAATTTTATGTACATCAACTGACTGAAAATTACAGAAGACTTTCCTTCCCCTCTTTTCTTTCTATGCACTGACATCCCCTTCTTTTCTGAGCCTTTATGAAAACATCTTACGTATTTAAATCCAGGGACACTCATACAGCACTTAAGAGTTTCCCATTAGATAAATATTATGGTTAGAGTTCTTTACAAAACAACACAATAATAGAATGGTTCAAATACACTTCAAAACAACATGGTAATGGAAACAAACACACTACAAATAATAACTGGCGTGTAACTTCCAGGTCTGGTTGGTCCTGAGGGAGATAAGGGAGCTGCTGGTGTTCCTGGCTTCCCCGGAGAGATCGGTGTGCAAGGAGAAAGAGGTCGCGATGGTCTTCCAGGTGTTGATGGTGTCCCAGGTAAGTTCGTCTGGAGCTAGCTAAGTTGCATAATTATATGGTCATTTTAGGTGGGAGGGCTTTTCTTATTATTTAGAAAAGAGGGTGTTTGTTTCGGATGGGGGTTTTTTTTCTTTATTTTGTTAGGGGTTTGTTTTTTTCTGTTGCCAATTTCAGAGAAGAGAGAGGTTTGTTCTTGTTTTGTTTTCTTATTTATTGTTGTTGCTTAATTGTCTGTACAGACATATTATATGGATGGTAATTGTCTCATTTGTATCACTTTAAGTTTTAAGGTTTTTGTTTGATTCCTTCTTTTAATTGTAGAAAATTAGGGTCTGTTGATATGATGATCAGAAACCAGCTCTTATTCTTTCCTTGAAACCTTTCCTTTTTTTTCTCCTTGTCCTGATGTAACCAGAAAGAAAAGTTTGTTCATGCTGAAATCGTTACTCATTTATTCCGTCTCTCCTGGTGATAGCAGAAGTAAAATTTGTGCTCATCCTGAAACCCGTGTTCTTTCTCTCCTTGTCCTAGTGTGTACAAAAAACAGAAAATTTGTTTATACTAAAATTATCATTCTGTTCTCTCTTTGTCCTATTATGTATAATAAGCAAAGCGCTTATGCTAAAAAAAAAAATTTCTCCTTGTCCAGGGGTGTGCAAAAAACAGTAAGCTTGTTCTTTCTAAAATTATCATTCTCTTCTTTCTTTGTCCTACTGTGTACAAAGAGCAAAAAAATTGTTCATGCTAAAATTATCATTCTCTTCGCCCCTTGTCCTGATGTATGCAGGCAGCGAAGGTCCCAAGGGTAACCGCGGTCCCCCTGGTGTGCCAGGAGCAACCCCACCAACTGGCTACTTGATGGTTCGTCACTCCCAGTCTCGCGATGTGCCACAGTGCGCTCCTGGACAGTCCAAACTCTGGGACGGATACAGTCTGCTGTACATTGAGGGCAACGAGAAATCTCACCACCAGGACCTTGGTAAGATTTATAAACAGTGTGCGAATGGGTGGGGGAGTGATTTTGAGTTAGTGAGTGTTTGATCAGTGTGGGTGTGTATGTGTGTGTGTGTGTGTGTGTGTGTGTGTGTGTGTGTGTGTTTGGGGGAGGAGGGTGAGTTTTTGTGTATGAGGGTGTGTGTGTATGTGTGCATGAGTGTGGGAGTGTGCATTTGTGTGTGTATGTGTGTGTCTGTGTGTGTCTGTGTGTGTGTTTGGGGAAGGAGGGTGAGTGTTTGTGTATGAGGGTGTGTGTGTGTGCATGAGTGTCGGAGTGTGCATTTATGTGTGTGTGCATGAGTGTGGGAGTGTGCATTTGTGTGTGTGTGTTTGTGTGTGTGTGTCGGGATGATGGGAGGGGGTGTTAGTGACTATGTATATATCGGAGTGTTTGGGTTTGCATGTGTATGGTGGTTTCACAGATGAGGAATGTTTCAAACTATTATTTTGGTAACAATTTACATTTCTGTGGTTATGCAAGACACTGATAGTTCCTACTTTCTAGTATTTGGACATGGGTTGTATAAACAGAGTTTTGTTATTAGTAGTATTACTTTGCATTCTTTTGTACACATATTTATTGGCATCTGTGGTGTAAAGGTGAGGCACTTCGCTGTCACTTACAGAAGACGTGAGTTGGATTTCCATGTGGAGAGGTTTGTATTTGGGTTTTTTTTTAGCATCTTTATCTGTCTGTTGAGATGTTGCATCCCTCTCAACTCAGGTTGGCCCTGCCAGGACAGGCAGGGTCAAAGAAGCCTTCCTCCTTTAATATCTAAATTGTTTTCAATGTGGGCATAATAAGTTAACAATATTTTCCTTCTTTTTATTTTGTAAGCATTTTTTGTCTCTTTCCCTCTAAGGCTGGGCTGGCTCCTGTCTGCCTCGCTTCAGCACCATGCCCTTCCTGTTCTGTAACATGAACAACGTGTGCAACTACGCCTCTCGCAACGACCGTTCCTACTGGCTGTCCACCAACCTCCCTATCCCCATGATGCCCGTGGTGGAGAACGAGATCCAGCCTTACATCAGTCGCTGTGTGGTTTGTGACGCTCCAGCCAACGTGATCGCTGTCCACAGCCAGACGGTTGCTATCCCAGACTGCCCACGAGGATGGTCCAGCCTTTGGATCGGATATTCATTCGCTATGGTGAGTTCATGTTGGAATTTTCCTTTTTTTTCACTTCTGTTTAGGCTGTTGATGAGACTTGTCCTCTGAATTTACACCCGTCTTAGATTATTATACATAGAGTTACAAGAAGTAATCTATCTATTCATTGATAAAATGTTACAGATTTTTTAAAAGGAATATACTGTTTTTGGACAGTATCATATTTTTAAAATTTTTCATTTTCAGAGTAAACGTTTTATTCATTGAAAAAGTGCTAAGGATTTTTCTAGCGGAATATAGACCTACCAGGGGTTTTTTTGAGAGTACAGTAGACAAAAAAAATTCCTTCTCAGGGTAAAATTTCTTTCATCACGAAAAAAGATTTTTAACATAGAATGTGTTCTTGTACTGTAGTGTAAAAGAATAGTTTTCATTCACAAGGTGAACATTTTATTCATTTAAAAAATGTTGTGTATTTCCTAACATTCTTGTCCCTGTCTTGATCAACAGCACACAGCAGCAGGCCCAGGCGGCGGCGGTCAATCACTGTCCAGCCCTGGCAGCTGTCTAGAGGACTTCCGTGCCACCCCCTTCATCGAGTGCAACGGTGCCAGAGGCACCTGCCACTACTTTGCCAACAAGTACAGCTTCTGGCTGTCCACCATTGAGCAGAACGAACAGTTTACACAGCCTCGTAGCCAGACGCTCAAGGCAGGCAACTTGAGGACTCGCGTCAGTAGATGCAACGTTTGTATTAAGAATGTGTGAGAGCAGGGAGCCCAGCGCACATTGTTGGGGTCTCTAGTATAGTGCTTATATATATTTTGTTCTGTTTGTTTTTATTTTTCACGTAAGTCGGTTTTTTTTTTCTCGGTTTAAAATGGTTGTCATTTTTCATCTTCATCCCAAGTGAATGAATAAAAGGAAAACAACAGAGTATTCACTCTACACTTCATATGAAGGTCAAGCAATCTCTATCAATGGTGCTATTTCATTCTATGCAAATTTGCTGGTAGTGTTATCTCAAAGTTTGGAAAGTTTACCAACTTTATGAGCAGTAGCATATTTTTGTATATTTACTTAACGTAAACCAAAAACGTTGATTTACATATAAATATATATAAAAATATATATATTACACATATACATCATTAACCCTGTCAAGTTGTCTGGTCAGATCAGAATATTTGGTGCAAAAGTGAGAATGTGTGTGCTATTGAATCATGCTTTTGTATAAAAGTCAGATGTGCATAATCTAATCTTGGCCATGTATCTGTTTTTCATAATTAATGGCAAACCGTTTTGTGCCTTAAGGGTGATAACTAGCGCATGTTATCACACTGTTTCTAAGATACTGGTGCAATGTCTGCGATTTGCTGCTCAATTTGAACTTTCATTTTTTTTCTTTCTAAGGCATCTGGTCTTTTTTTGGTTTTTGGTTGGTTTTTTTGTTTTTTTTTGGTAATGTTATTACTCTTTAGTTATTATTATAACTATTATTATTCATTATATCACCAAATGAATAGCTAAGTCTGTGGAAGATCTGTTTTCAGGGCAACTGAACACTTTTTTATTTCAGAACCGTGGACCATTTATCTAATAAAAACAAAATTCTGGTTCACTTGGAGTATTCTCAAAATCTTTTTCCAAAGCTATTCCTGTTTCTGTTTCCGTCTATTTCGCATTCGAAAAATAAGACAGAAGCTTGAAGAGCAAGATTCAAAAGGCTCGAATCTTGCACTTGCCCTGGCAAACAGGTCCCCCAAGGCTTGTTAAGGCAACTCTGAGAAAGATTAGGTATGAAACGAAGATGAAGCCCCACATGTTTCAACGAGGGTTCAGACAGAAAGGAAAAGATTGAAATACAAACAAGGGCTCTGCAAAATGTCTCAGATTTTTCCTGAGCATGCAAGTACTGTTTTCTGGTTTGGTTTTTATTATCAAGTGACATTTTTTTGTGCAGAACATAACAGGATATGTTCCTGGAAACCATGCTACCTGTGATTAACAACCCACTCACTGCCAGCACCAAACCGATATTATTTCTAAACACTTCATACCAACAGCACAATGGTGATACATTTGTCTTCCATCAATCCTACCATGTAGCAGAATAACTTCCTGTAACTGTCTCCATCTCTATTTATGTTCACAATATCTCAACAGATTGTTTTTGTGCAGACTAGATCAAAGAAATGTTTAACGTTATCGCAAATGAGTCATGGAGAGAGCAGCTGTGGAAACGTCTTTCTACGCTGCAGAAAGGATTATTTTTATGGTCACGGAATTCTGCCCCTGTGATTTGAAAAGTGATGACATAATGTGACCTGTATTTACACCGGTTCTCGATCTGATAGGATTTTTGGTAATATCTGATATTGTATCAAATTGTTTTGGGGTTCTTTTTCCTTCCCCTTCATATTTGTACAAAACTGTTTTCAAATGCAATGGATCTGATCTGTTTTTCTTTTTTTGTTTATGTTCTTGTTTTTTTCTTATTTCACTAAATTCATTCAATATTTTCCTTTTTGGTGGATGAAGCAATGATCAATCATTCTTTTGTTTTATTTTCTTTTCATAGTATTTTTTTCCTCGCTGTTGCAAGTTGGGATGAAAGATTTGGGCCTGGTACGACTGACATTTTCTTTTACATGAGTGAATAAGCAAATGTAATTACAACTTCTTCTTTGATGTATTTGTGTTAACAAACATAACAAAGGTGCTATAATATTCTGTCATTATTTTACTTCAGTGCTTTATGATAAAAAGTATGTCCAACACCTTGGTTTTTCTTCCTTGGTAGGAATCTTGAATAAGTTTCATTTTGTCAGCTGCTCATTATAAGTCAGATAAAAGTAAATTTAATTTATAAGGAAATGTTTAACTCTTTACAACCTCAGAACTGTGCCTAATTACAAGTCGATCAATGGTTTAGGCAGTTCAATATTCAAATAAAAGTCTCTTTACAATAGAATTGTGGCATAAAATGTTGCTCCTTTGGCTAAGGTCTTAAGTCTTCTTTTATCAAACATAACGTTCCGGTGTCTGTGGTCTAAGAGTTACATGTTTTGCTGTCTTGTCGGAAATCTGAGTACTATACCTGAGTGGGGAGCATTTTTATCTAGTATCTCGGCCTTTCTGCAGGAACATTTCATCCCTCTCAGCCCTAACAGACAGGACCAAAGCTTGCCTCCTAAATGATCTACATTGTGTCAGTGGGGTTATTAAAAAACTCCTATATATATTGAAACCTTTTTAAAAAAATGATAACTTGAAAGTACATCAAGCCAGCGTTTGTGGCGTGATTGTGTGGCTCTGTGCCCTTGCACGCTAAAGACATGAGTTCAGTTTGAACGCTGGGATAGCGGAAGGTATATCTTTTCAAGTAAATAAGAACCTGTCTGGTGGGAAGCTGTATCCCTTTCAGCACTGGATGGCTTGAACAGGCAGGATTGAAGCAACCCACCTCCTAAATTGTGCTCAAGGGGGCATAAAAAATATCAGCAGATAGAGAACATCTCTTTCATGACTCTATTTTTTCAACTACATTGTTTAATGATCATTATTGTGGGGGGGGGGTCTCAAAAGTTCTGGTGAAAGCTGATTCAAAACCCTATATGTCTGCCCCTTGGCTTTAATGAGCTCAAGACAAGATCTTACCCCTGGGTCAACGAACACTGAAAATAGAGCTCACAATGAAAATGGAGCTCACAAGACGTATTATTATTATGTTATACAAGACTACGCAATACCATAGACAAAGGACTTACAAGTTTCTTTTTCCTGCTTGATAGATCGAAACCTCCTTGTCTTCCCTCTCCTCCTTCTCATCATCCTCCTCTTCCTCCTTCTTCTTCTCCTCCTCCTCCTTCTAATCCCCTCATCATCTTCCTCTTCTCCTCTTCCTCCCTCTCCTCCTGTACCCCGTCTTCTTCCTCCCTCTCCTTGCCTCCTCCTCCTCTTCCTTTTTCTTCTCCTCCTGCTCCTCCTCTGAAAAAAATCCCCAGTGTTATTGTTTTTAAAGTTTAACGCTTTATGAGACACAATGATCAGCTTCTGTGGTGTAGTGGTTACATTCTTCCTTCACAGAAATAGGACATAAGTTCAAGTTCAATTCTGAAGCAAGGGACTTTTCACTCTTTTTTTTTATCTGTCTGCTGGGATGTTGTATCCTCCTCAGCCCAGGTTGGCTTTGACCTTGACAGACAGGGTCAAAGAAGCCTATCTCCTTGATCTATATTATGTGAATGATGTTGTGAAACATCTACTTTGACAACTGACAACTGGTCACTTTGCATGGCGTCAAGCTCTTTTGATTGTGGAGCATTTTGTGTACAGTCAGATCACTGGGCTAAGAGGAAATGATTATTTCAGGAAAGATGAGGAAAAAATGAGAAGCCAGTGGAATTCGAACTTGGGTATGCAAGACCAAACTTGTATTCTGCTATCCCAGCATCTGTTGATGTTGGTTCTTCAAGCTATATCTTGCAGAGATATTTTGGCAAATGTAAATGTGCCCCCC